GCACTGCCGTCCGGAATGGTCAAACCTATTAACGGGGAACTCATCTGGATACTGGACGAAGGAGCTGCGTCTAAACTCTAGAAGTTAGTGTCTGATGGCAACCTGTGAGAGGAAAATGGTAAATGGTTCCGCAATGATTTTGATCTCTTCATTAGTGGATAGTTTTTTTCTTCTCTCTCTCTCTCTCTCTCTCTCTCTCTCTCTCTCTCTCTCTCTCTCTCTCTCTCTCTCGTCTCTCTCTCTCTGTCTCTCTCTCTCTCTCTCTCTCTTATCTTTTATATAATAATTATTAATAAAATGTTTGATATGTTCCTCTTCATTTTGAGATGATTATTTGTATCATTTTTTAAAAATACATTCCAATTTAAAGGGGGTAAGTAATGGTAAAGATTAAATCATTTCCAAGTTAATATAATATATAATGTCCTTTTTCGTTCTGTATTGATGCTCATTGGAGGGACCACATTCGAAGCAGAATTTATACTGGAACGCTATATGTGACCTATATTCAGATGTTTAATTTGAAAATGAAATATGTGATAGCATTGCCTTTTGTTGATATCGGAATAATTACACCTAAGAGTAAAAGAGAAAATGTATTACTAGAAAATGATATTTTTTGTGTAAGGGTTAGTGATTTTGGTCTTGAAAATCAGGAATTTATGAGGTTGTTTTTATTATGATGTTGTAGTTAGATTTATTGTTACATGATTATTGGTAATATTCATATAATTGTATATTATTTTTTGTTAAATTTATAATTTTTCAGATTTATAGTTAGATAAATGGTGCTTTAAATTTCACATAATATTTTATGTAAAGCCATCTTTTTTTTCTTTTCTTTTTTTTTATTTTTTAATGTGTGGAATTCATGTCAAACAAACTGCAAAAAGAACAACAAAGGGAAGAACAAGAAAACATGTGAATATGACGAAGGCCTTTTTGTTGTATTGCCCTAAAGAAGCAATACAGCTTTTTTTATCTTTCCATTTTATGTAGCCTTATAAAAACCTTAGCTGTTCATATTGTTAAAAAGAATACTGTATCATATATCTTATTAAGGCTAATGCAAGAGTTGAAGGTCTTTAGAATACCCATATATATATATATATTTATAGTTATAGTCTCGGTTGCTTATTTGTTTTTTTCCTTTGATGTGAGGCATGAGGCCAGATTTTTTCCCCCTGTATCTAAAAGGTGCTAGTGTTGTACAATCACAATGGCCGAAACATACTTTTTGTCTTTTTATTTTTCATAATTGAGAACAAATATAAGACTATTTATAACCTGTGTGAATAATGGAAGATATTCTTGTTAAAATGAGATGAGAAATACTGGACACAGCTATTACATTTTCAGTTTTGATGTTCTCACCTTCTTCTCTTTCTCCCATTTCCTTCGTAACCCCTTGGTGACGGGGGAAGAAAAATGAAAAAAAAAAAATTAAAAAACAAAAAAAAAAATCTACGCTCTAGCGATCAATCAACATGCCGACTTTGTTAGGCGCGGGAGTTCGGTAACAAACCCGTCTCGTAGCGCATTGGTGGGCTGCCGCATACCAACAGAGGTTTGTTATGACTCCTCACAGCCACTGACCCGTCATGAAGGGGTTAATTCTCTTCAGTAAATAAAGCATCTCAACCCAAATAGCAATATAAAGAAAAGTCAAAGCACAACTTCAATATTTATACATTTATTTTTAGAGATGGATTAATGTTAATACAAAATCTTCTGAATGAAGGTATTTGAAAGGCATTATTTATACTTTTTACCAATAAAGCTTTTAATAGTATACAATATCACATAATTGATATATAGCCTAACAAAAGAAACAAATCTAAACATGAAGTTTGATTTAAAAAAACGGAAATTTTACACTTTAAATATCTGTTTTCCCCCATATAAAATAAATCATATTCAATACTATAAATGGATAATTCACATTTTTTAATTACCGGTGACACTAAAACTCTTTACATGACCACTGGACTGTCTTGCCTACATAATCACTGCATAAGTAATAGAACCTGAAAATATGAGCCTCCCTATCCATACTAAAAATATAACAAAAGTACATGACATTTTGACTAAACACTATATGACCATTTGCTAGAATTCAAGTGACCTAAATGAGAAGTATCTCATCCTAAAGTATCTTAAAACAATTGTCCAAACGGCATCGAAAAAATGGTTTTGTTACATTAAACTCAGATAGTATATAAACACTATATATTCATGTTAATACACTACTAGCATAAAATAAAGTGATCAATGTGACTATAGCATGAATTATGTTACAGATGAAAGTTTAGACATGCATATTCAGGCACTCGATTCGGAGAACACCTTTGAATGCCTGCCATGTATTGTCCTAAGTGTCCAGATGTCTTCTTTGCAGAAGAAGTGTCCTAAATTAAATTTTTAAGGTAAGATGACATCTATTAGTCCTTTTCTTTTCTAATTTAACAGTGATTTGCAAATCAAATTATTTTGCTATATC